CTTTAGTCGCGGTTCTTAAGGAGCCGCGACTAAAGGTGGGGGGCTTTAGTCGCGCTTATTTGGTCGCGGTTGCGCAACCGCGACTAATGGCAGTTGCGAACCGCGACCAAAGGCCTTTTTTCCACCAGTGGATCTTCATCAGCAGGGCCTCCGTAGGCCCCACAAGCCTGGGCACACCCTAGGAGGGGGTCGCGCCTCCTGGGCTTGTGGGCCCACTAAGACTCTTCTCTGGTACTTTTTCTTTTCAGTATTTATTATATATTTCAAAATAAATCTTCCCAACACGCCGACACAAACCAATTTGGGCCGGAATGTGTTGCCGCAGAAAAAAAAAAGACACACGTTCATTTGCGTCGCCGTGTTGGACCGTGTTTTCTGTTCGCGTGGACTTAAATCGGACGCGGGCAGACGAATTGGGTTGCGGCAATTGCAGTTGGCCTAAGCAGGTACGAAATAGTCGGCCGTGATCAATGTACAAGAGCGCTCAACTTGCTGAAGTTTGCAAATGCAGGTGCATTACTCTGTCGCTCAACTTGCTGAAGCTTGCAAACATAGGTGCGTGCATTAACCCTGTCGGTTCTGCTAATCCGAAGAGGAGTTAGGAGCTAGTCTCTTTGCAATCTGTGTACTGCAAGATATTGTTTCGATAGCACATACCTCAAATCAAGGAGAAGACCACACTTTTTTTCTGAACGAAAAAAGAAAAAACCCATTCTCCACGATCGCAGACGCCGCCTGAAGTACCGGCACTTGTACTTTTCGAAGAAAATAAAGAACTCCTACCAAATATACTGTTGCTTTTTCCTTTTTTGGGGCAAAGCCAAACACTATTCCTGCACGTATTTGCTAGTAATATTCCAGCGATCCAGTCTGTACATTAAACTCGGCCGTTGCCTGACAGCGGCGTGGCACCCGCCCGTTTCATCCAGATCCCCACCGCGCGCCAATTCGCCCACCGACCGCATCATTTCCGTTTGTCACCGAGAAGCTCGGAACAGTCTGGAAACTCTGAATAGCCGCTCGGCGAGCCAAGTGGAACCGAACAGCAGCCGCACGCGCGACCAATCCGCGCGCGATGATGGTGAATTGGTGATCCCGCAGCAATAACCAAGGGCGAATAGTCCGCAGTTGGTTAGCTCGGTGCTTCTTCATCACAGGCCTTTTCTCTCCCGAACCTTGCAGCAAACAGGCCAGCGCGCGCCTTTGTGCATGCACCCGTTGGCAGAGCGCCAGTGCGTGCGTGGCGTGGCCCAAGCCTGCGGGGTGCGATCGTCGTGCCGGCCACCGCGCACGTCGCCGTCGGCATGGCAGGGTTCCTGATCAGAGTGTACAGCGGCTGGGGAGTCGAGCTCGCCGCCGTCTCCCTCGCGGCCTTCCTCCTCCGGTACGCCGTGGTGCCCTACGTGAACCACCTGGTCGCCAGCCTGAGCGGCCTGAGCGGGATGGTCGCCAGTGAGGCGGTCGTCGCGAGCTACTGCTACGCCTCGGGCCTCGACGGCGCCACCATCTCCCGGCTGCCATGCTTCGTGGCCGGGCGGCCGGGCGACGCTGCTGCCGTGGCCACGATGGACTGTCCGGTGTGCCTGGGCGCTGTCGAGGAAGGGGAGACGATGCGGGCGCTCCCGGTCTGCCGGCACGCATTCCATGCGCGGTGCGTCGACGCCTGGCTGCGCCTGCGGCCGACGTGCCCCGTTTGCCGAGCGACGTTCAGCTGACGTTGAGGCCAACGCGGCGGCCACGGGGTCGCGGCACAGTGGAGTGGGTGCTCGCGTGCAATTTGAGCTCTGGCTGACGAAATGGGACGCGGATGTCCGTATCCTCCTGCATTCAGGCCGTGTGGACACTTTTTTTTTACCCCGATAAATTCCGAAAGTTCGGATTTAAAGCATTTTATACGGAAAAAAAATTATGGCAACTTTAGTTGACGCGAGGTGTCAACTTTAGTTGTTCAGACATGGTAATTTTATCCTAGTTCGTTTTTTGTCAGAAAATTGTTATGTTTACCAACCTTACATGAACTAAAGTTGTCATGAAAAACATTCCGATTGCCATGCTTATAATCCAAATGTTTAAGATTTATCATTTTCTTTTTCTTTTTGTTTGAGAAAGAGTGGCCACAGGGTTAATAAGTTCGTTCCACTGACGTGGGTGGGAAATTTGACGGCCAGAATTGCTGTGTTGTCTCACCCTTAAGGCAATCTTAAATTTTACTATTACTCTTGTTTTCTTTGGACTTACTTTTTTTTGGAACATTTCTTTGGACTTGCTTGTTACTACTCTATATATATCTCTATTCGTATTTGCAATTTATCAGTTGTCTGGAAATAAAATACGAATGAATCGAATCTGTATGAAAGATAGAGGGAGAGAGAGGGAGAGAGAGAGAGAAAGAGAGAGGCGTACTGATCCGAGGCCGGCCCTGTCGTCTTCAGCAAGACCGGTCCAAGACCTCTCCTGACCGTGGTGTCACTCATTTTCGCCGTCGCTTAGATTAAGGAGCCTTAAAGCTAAAAAAGAAGTACCCCCATAATGTGATTCTTCGTCTCCATGTCTTTTACCCAAACACCATTATCATCAAGCAAATTTTTTATCTGATTTCTTTTCTTTATGGATGTTGCCGCATTATGGAAAAAGAGGTGTTGCGGTCACCATACAATAGCCAGTTTGCTCGACCCTTGTAACCAGTATATCTCCTCTGTTCCAACAGATTTTCAATAAGGACAAGAGTCTCCTTTTAACGTGCAAGGGAGTACGCATTTATAGGAACCTGTTGGTTCTATATCCGGCGTATCTCATAGTGGGGGTCCTAAGCTTGGCGTCTTGGAGCGATGGTAATGTGGACACATATTTTACCCAGGTTCGGGCCCTTTTGATGGAGGTAAAACCCTACGTCCTGCTTTTGATTGTATTCATATGGGGATAGTACAGAGTACATGTGTCTACCACGAGATGGATCTAATGAATATTGGATGACCTATTGACTAGCCTGCCCTCGGCTTATAGAACACACCAGAGGACCAGGGTTTAGGAGAGTCCTCGTCTTGGGCGCCAAGTCTTGTGGAGTCTTCCTTGTATGCGGCATGGGTTGTCCGAACTGGCCCAATAGTGAACCGCCATGGGGGTCCTCGGCCTGATACACCTGTTCGGGAGACGACTTGTTGAGTACCCCCTAGTCCAGGACACCGTCAGTAGCCCCCTGAACCGGTCTTCAAGTTGGGGACGCTCTTCTATTCTTCCGAACTGTTCTTCATCTGTGGTTGTCGGTCTTGAAAAGTGGTTCAATAAATCTTCTCATATTCGATCTTGAGGATCGCCGAAGTAAATCCGAAGAGTTTACATGTCGGGTATCCAAGGAGCCCCTTTAAGTTTCCGGCCTTTATCAATGCCTTGTTATTTTTAGGCCACACCTCGGGTTTGAAGTTGTTCCCAGGCAGCAGTGTCCTCTTGCGTCCGAGCTCCAACGTCGGACTGTATTCGAGGTATCTTTTGCAGCCGAGCACTAACGCCGGACCGCTTCTGAGCTCCAACGCCGGGATGTATCCGAGCTCCAACGCCGGATTGTATCCGAAGAGTATTGTTACAGCCGAGCTCCAACGCCGGACTATATCCGAGGTATTATAGATCACCTTGGTTCAAAAAAAGTTAAAGGAGTTTAGCCGAGCTTAATGCCAGAAATGCCCTCTATGGAGCCAGCCACTAGCGCCCGAGCTTTATGCCGAACTGCTTCCTACGTGGTGCACCACCCCGACTGCGGGCCGATTTTTTGTTAATATTTTTCATTGGTGTAATTTATTCCCTGCCAAGATATATAGCCAGTAGCCCTCAAGGTGTGTATCGGTCTAAAACCCGATACGCACCTGAAGGATGACATAAGACTGATGATCCCAGTAGCCCCTGAGACTTAGGTTGATTCACAAAATTGGCCTAAGGATCAACTCCTAGCTCGGCAGAATACTTCGGGATACAAAAAGCGATGTGCAAAGTCCTCGAGACTCAAGCTGGGTGCGGCCGACCAACCTGAGGATCACAATCTCCTGGAATAAAGATCTCTTAAATGAGCTAGAGCCAGTGAAGCTGGGCTCGCCAAGGTTGGCCTCAAGGGGCTTAATAGATAGGAAATCGATGCCACTTGTTCACCCGAACTTTAAACGCGTCTTAACCGACCATCGGCTTCTCCCTCTTCGGTCAATGGCCGAAAAGTGTTATGTACTCCACCTGTCGAGAATATCGACGGTGTTTCCGATAACCAGGCAATCAGGCCATAAGCCTGTAACAGACAAAGCGCGCTCAGGGAACTTATGCTATATTATTGATGAAGTGTAAGAAGCATCTTCGAAGAAAATAGTGCCCCCACCGATACCTTTCTTCGATTTCTCATTGTTACTATGAGACTTGTGCAATAGATTTTTTTGTACTCGTGAGTTCCGTTGTGTGCCGACCATGATTGAAAACAATAAGAGCGAAAGCTTTCGGCTTCACCCAGTCTGAGGTCCGAGCTCAGATGACCCGATCGTGACAATCGCAGAGGTGCTCCCTTTACTCCCTAGCCGAACAATCGGGAACGTAGGGGTAAACACAGGAGCAAGGCAACCCAGCTTGCGGAACACTTAAGTCAACATGGTGCATATTTTGGTGTAATACACGAACAAGGAACGAAGCCATACAAGTATAATCATATGCAAGATGAAAGGCTTCATAAAGGAAGCCCCAAGTAAACGGGGTATTTGAATTTGTGTGTCACAAACAAAGTTTTGACAGGAAGTTCACATACAACTTTTTGCCAAAAAAGTATAATGCTTGGTCGAACCAAACACAATTTAAAACTGAAAGTTTTTGAGCATGAAAGCGACTTAGCTGGTTAATGTGTTTGATATTGATGAAGCGGTCTGAGCTTATGATGGGATGATGTCCTAGCCCCTAAGCCGGTCCCAAGGTGGTGAAGCGAAGAGCTCGGCAATCCGAAGTGGCGAAATAGCACGGCCAATGTGGCGAGGCGGAACCCTCAGTCCGACCGAGGCGATGTAGCAGACCGGCAGTATGACGCCTGATACGTCTCCGTCGTATCTATAATTTTTTATTGTTCCATGCCAATATGCTACAACTTTCATAAAATTTTGGTAATTTTTATACTATGTTTGGGGACTAACATATTGATCCAGTGCCCAGTGCCAGTTCATGTTTGTTGCATGTTTTTGTTTCACAGAATATCCATATCAAACGGAGTTCAAACGGGATAAAAACGGACGGGGATTATTTTTGGAATATTCGGAGAATATGGGAAGAAAACTCCACACGAGAAAGTGCCTGAGGGAGGCACGAGGCAGGGGGCGCGCCCCTGACCCTCGTGGGCCGCCCGTAAGGCGGTTAATGCCCTTCTTCGGCCGCAAGAAAGCTAATTTTTAGGAAAAAATCACGGCGAAGATTTCAGTCCAATCAGAGTTACGGATCTCCATATATATATATATATATATATATATATATATATGAAACGGTGAAAGGGCAGCCAACCAGAACACAGAAACAGAGAGAGACAGAGAGACAGATCCAATCTCGGAGGGGCTCTCGTCCCTCCCATGCCATAGAGACCAAGGTCCAGAGGGGAAACCCTTCTCCCATCTAGGGAGGAGGTCAAGGAAGAAGAAGAAGGAGGGGCTCTCTTCCCTTCGCTTCTGGTGGCACCGGAGTGCCACCGGGGGCCATCATCATCACCGCAATCTTCACCAACAACTTCACCGCCATCATCACCAACTCTTCCCCCCTCTATGCAGCGGTGTAACCTCTCTTTTACCCAATGTAATCTCTACTTAAACATGATGCTCAACGCTATATATTATTTACCAATGATGTATGGCTACCCTATGATGTTTGAGTAGATCAGTTTTGTCCTATGGGTTATTTGATGATCAAGATTGGTTTGAGTTGCATGTTTTATTATTGGTGTTGTCCTATGGTGCTCTCCGTGTCGCGCAAGCGTGAGGGATCCCTGTTGTAGGGTTTTCAATATGTTCATGATTTGCTTATGGTGGGTGGCGTGAGTGATAGAAGCATATACCCGAGTAAGTAGGTTGTTTGCGTATGGGATAAAGAGGACTTGATACTTTAATGCTATGGTTGGGTTTTACCTTAATGATCTTTAGTAGTTGCGGATGCTTGCTAGAGTTCCAATCATAAGTGCATATGATCCAAGTGGAGAAAGTATGTTAGCTTATGCCTCTCCCTCAAATAAAATTGTCGGTCTAGTTATCGATAGCCTAGGGACAAATAAATTTCTTATAACAAAAAGCTCTCCACTAAAACTAACTTAGTTGTGTCTTTATCTAAACAGCCCCTACTTTTTATTTACATGCTCTTTATTATCTTGCAAACCTATCCAACAACACCTACAAAGTACTTCTAGTTTCATACTTGTTTCAGGTAAAGCGAACGTCAAGCGTGCGTAGAGTTGTACCGGTGGTCGATAGAACTTGAGGGAACATTTGTTCTACCTTTAGCTCCTCGTTGGGTTCGACACTCTTACTTATCGAAAACTGTTGCGATCCCCTATACTTGTGGGTTTCAACACCGAAGTCCCCATCGTGGGTTAATGAAGCGATGACGAAGCCCCCAGTCCAGCCGAGGTGATGTGGTACGTCGGTACGCCGAGGTGACAGCGCTGCCCAATCCGGATCATTTACTTGTGCACAAAAAACAGTGCAAGGCGGAGATAATAGTAATA